ACTCAGTGTGACCTTGAGACCACTTCCTGTTGCCCGCAAGATGTAGGACTACTTCTCCAGCATCATACCTGCCTGCACAAAGCCGTGTCCCGCCATGATGATAATGGACTGAACCTCTAAACTGTAAGTAAGACACCCCAACTAAATGTTTTCCTTTGTAGGAGTTGCTGTGGTCATGGTGTACCTTCACAGCAACAGAAACTCTAACTAAGGACAGGCGATATGCACTCTCAACTACTGAGCCATCTCTCCAGTCCTGCTTTCTCCTTTTTATTCAGTCTGGGACCACACCCCATGGGTGATGTTGCTCACATTTAGGGTGGATCTTCCAACCTCAGTCTGATCTAGATAGTGCTTCAAGATATGCCCAGAGGTTTGTTTCCATGGCGGTTCTACACCCATCAAGTTGGCCATCAGAATTAACCATGGCATGCACACATATGCATTTTCCCAAGCGATTTGCTATTTCATCGTTAACGCGATTTTCAGGTCTAAGGTGAACATTATACACATGTATTATTATTTGTCGCACTGACTTGTTTGTAGCAATCTCCCAGTAACTTTCAATAGTTTGATTCCACATGACAAATGTAACTGGCCAAGTAAGGGCCACCCTGGTAGTCAAGGGGGTTTTTGGTGTTTGTTTGTTTGCTGAGACAAGGTTTCTTCTCTCTGTGTAGCTCTGGCTATCCTGGAACTCACTCTGTAAACCAAACTCCCCTCAATTTCACAGAGATCCTCCTGCCTCTGCCTCCTGAGTTCTGGGATTAAAGGCGTGCACCTCCACCACCTGGCAATATCTAGTTTTTAAGATATTACCTCCCAGGCTGGAAAGATGGCTCCATAGCTAATGGCATGTGCTTCTCTTGTAAAGGACCTGGATTTGGTTCCCAGCACCCACATGGAGGCTGTGCAAACCTCTGTAACTCCAGTTCAAGGGGATGCAATGCCTTTTTCTGGCCTCCCAGGACACTGCGCTCACATGCACAAAAGCACACTCAGACATATACACGAGTACACATTAATCAGTCAATTAATTAAAATATCTACCTCCCTTCCTTGAAAGATTGAGCATCCCTATATGTAGGCATATGCAGTGTTCTACTTTCTGTTACTATACTAAAAGATCCAAGACTGGGCATGTCTAGGCCCTCCATAGTCACCAGCTGAATAGTACAGTGAGCTCAGCCTATGCCACGTGGAGCAAAGGCCCAGCTGAGCCCTGCTGTGGTGCTTTGAATGAGAACGACCCCCATAGGGCACCTGTGTCAGGTATCGATTGCCTGTAACTTCAGCTCCAGAGGCTCTGATGCCCTCTTCCGGCCTCCTCCTCTTCCTCCACACACCTGACACACATTAGTAAAAGTAAAATAAACATTGTATAAGAAGCTAAAGTAATACATTTGCTGATCAGTGTTTTGTCAATTTGACATGAACCAGGGTCATCTGGGAAGAGGGAACCTTAACTGAGAAAATGTCTCTATCATGCTAGCCTGTAGGCAAATCTGTGGGGTATTTTATGGGCTATTTTATGAGTGCTGTGGAAGGGTCCATTCCACTGTGAGCACGCCGGACTGGTGGTCCTGGAAGTCTAAGAAAGGTAAGTGAACTAAGCCTGGAGAATAAGCTCACAAGCAGTGTTCCTGCCCCCAAGTTCCTGCCCTGGTTTCCCTCGGTGATGGAGTATATGTAAGCTGAGAATTCTAAGATGGAATCGACTCTTTCCTCCCCAGGTTGCTTTCAGCCGTGGGCTTTATCATAGCAATAAAAGCAAAACTAAGACAATCTGCAACACAGCTACTAGTTACCTCCTCTTCTGTCCCTTTGGTAAAGCCTCGTGATACAGTCTCAAAAACAAAGCAGAGATTCTCACGCCCAAGCTTCTCTTGTCGCTGCAGTGTTCCAGTTCTGTACTGATGGTGACAGTTAGAGAGGGTGCTCTTCCAGGAGAAGGGTTTTCCTCGGTAATCAAAACAGAGGGAGGGACAGAAAAGGGTCTTAGCTGCCCTGGCCATGCAGTTAGGTACATTGCTTGGTTTGGATCACTGTTGCCCCCAACGGCTCCCGTGTTGAAGGAGTGGCTGAAGTCGATAGGCATTTGAAAAGACGTCGGAGCATCAGAACTCAGACCCAGCTGATAGATTAATCCATTGATAAATTCAAAACTGAATGGACTCTCAGGAGGAGCCTGGTTGGGTACACTGGGGTAATGCCCTGGAAGGGTGTCTCCCACCCCACCCCCGTCGTCTCTTGCTGTCTCTGTTTCCCAGCCACTGTGTCGTAAGCAGTTTCCTTCCACCTCTCCCTCCTGCCATGATGCTCTCTGCCCACTGGAGGCCCAAAGCAACGGGGCCAGGTGGCCATGGAGAGAAACCACTGTTACCATCAGCAAAGTACACCTCTCTGCCTTTGAACTGATTTTCTCCAGAGATCTCTCATGGCAACAGAAAACTGACTGACCTACGCATGTTCTCATCAAGTGCGCCATGATGAGGGGAAGGGACGCTACCAGGAACCAAAGAGAATCAAAAGCTGACATATCGCGAGAAGGGAGGACAAAGCATCTCTGGTCCTTAAAAATATGTTTTGAGCCACTCAATAACTGTTGGTCTGCCTATCCTCAAAGAGAGCCAACATTATGAGTCTTAATTCTTTAATCCTCTACTACTTGGTAGGTCTTGTATTTGTGGCAAAAAACAAAAAAAGCAAAACAAAACAAAAAAATGCTTGCGTGATTCTCGTCTGAGATCATCTCACTAGTGTGCCACCTTCCTCTTCTAGTCACAGCGTGGTGACATGGCCTTGACATTGCATTTAAAAGTGCAAATATGGAGCCGGGCGGTGGTGGCGCACGCCTTTAATCCCAGCACTCGGGAGGCAGAGGCAGGCGGATCTCTGTGAGTTCGAGACCAGCCTGGTCTACAAGAGCTAGTTCCAGGACAGGCTCCAAAACCACAGAGAAACCCTGACTCGAAAAACAAAAACAAACAAAAAAAAAAAACAACAAAAAAAAAGTGCAAATATGGTTGCCTGCAGTCTTTGGGGTCTGCGAAGACCATGTGACCAGGTCTGGCCAATCAAAGTGTTCCCCTGACCATACTACAATAGGCAGCCCAATGAGGTTCACTCTGAACTTGGGGCAGAACCCAGTTGTGAGGGGAGGTACTCCATTCCCAAGATCGTTGATTCAGAAAGAAACAGAAAGGCACATTTCTGAAGATATTCTCAAGACTTTGGGACACTCCTTTGCCTGGGCCACCTTTGGACTCCCTTTTCAGGTTTCCAAACAAATAAACTTCTATTTTCATGGGCCAGTTATTGGCTGGAGGAATTCCAACTGATCCAGGCCAAAGTCCAACCATACAGATGAGAGTAAGGGCCTTGGCTGAGATACAGCAGGGCTGGGGGGGACAACGTAGCATTCCTGCAGAGCAGCTGCTGGTCTCTGGCCCTCTCCCACACAGCAGAAGCAAAGGCATGCTCTCCGGTACCTGTGCTCAAGCAGGCGAGCAAAGGGGCCCAGGTTCAAACACAGCCTTAGTAGGCTTAAGTGTTTAATCTTGATTGATGAGATTTGGAATTGCTATGGAAACAAAGCTCTGGGCATATCTGTCAGTGGTTATTTTAGGTTATCTGAGGTGGGAAGACCCACCCTGAGTGTCGGCAGCATTCCAGGGGCAGGGTTTCTAGACTGAATAAAACGATAAAGAACAAACGGAACCCGAAATTCAGCTCTCCCTGCTCCTGCTGCAGGTGCAGTGTGAGCATCTGCCTCCGGCTCCTGGCATCCTGGGGCCTCCACTGCATGCTCACAGGTGCTGTGAGCCACAATAAACTCTCCTTTCCTTAAGTAGTTTTTGCCAGGTTTTTTTTTTTCAACAATAAGACAACTAACACAGAGTCTTAAATTTAACTAAATCATGCTAATCTTACAGTCTCTCCTGTGTTCAAGACCATTGCTGCTTAAGAATCAGTGCAGGCAGATTAATAGAAATGGGTTAATTTAAGATATAAGAGCTAGGTAGGAATGGGCCTAAGTCGTTGGCCAAGCAGTGTTGTAATTAAAAAAAAAAAGAATCAATACAGGCCTATAATCTAACACTAAGGATGTTGAGGCAGGAGGATTAAGAGTTTAAGATCAACTTGAACTACCAAGAGAAATCTATTCTCAAAATAAATAAATAAAATAAGTAAGTGGGGGGGGTAGGTAGGTAAAAGTGCCAAGTGTGTGAGGAGGAGCTAGCACCACTGTAAGTGGAGGGGAGGAGAGGAAGGCCAGGTGGAGTCAGGGGTGCCCATAGCCCGGCATTTATGAGGTCAGAGACAAAGGCCAGATGGGGTCATGAGTGCCCACGTGCCCAGCATTTATGAGGCCAGAGCCAGGAGAATCGCTGAGGTTTGCTGACTGCCAACTGTACCCACAGGAGCAGTGGGGCTGCCTCAGGAGAATAAACAGAAAGTCCTCATGGTGTCTTCCTGTGGCCTGCACTCATGTCTTTGTCTAACACACACACACACACACACACACACACACAAATAAGTAAATAAAATGGAATCAAGAGTGCTTTCTCAGTGTCCTTTGGGTAGAACTGAGGAGAGCTTCCTTCTATTTGAGAGTCAAGTTCCGAATTCGGGCTCTTCTCCTCGGGGGTCTACACAACACCACTCCCTCGGCTCTCCCTGCCCGCCTCTCCTGGATTCATGCACGCACTGTTTGGGCTCAGAGCAAAGAGAAAGGCTTTTTCTGGAACTCCCTCCTCCTCTTCAGGATATGCAGATAGGTTCTTCTAGACAATTCCAGAACAGCCATAACTTCTCTCCGAAGCTCCAAGGAAATACCCAAGACAATTATAGTGCCCTTCCAATTTTCTTTGGTAAACCCCTCTCAAGTGATGCCAGCTGTTTCATTTATAGAACAAGACATTTCCTTTAAAATTCGAATATATACATTTTAAAGTGGCTTTGCCACAGAAAAGAGTTTCGAAATGAGCCAGTTTAAAGCAGAATTGGAGTTTATTGGGAAGAGACATTTTTAAACATTTGCTTACTTTATCTGTATGTGTGAGAACCTGCCTGTCCCATGCATGTCTTGTACCTGTGGAGGTTGCCAAAGAGAGGGGGAATCCTCTGGAACTCCATGGAGTTACATAGTGGTTGTGAGCCGCTATGTGGGTGTTGGGAACTGAACCCAGAATCTCTACAAGAGCAGTAAGTGCTTTTAAACTCTGTGCCATTGTTCCAGGCCCCTTTGGGGGAGAGTTTTCCTAACATAGGTTTAAGCAATAGGTAGGAGGGTGTAGCCAAGCGCTGAGGAGTCATTCAAGGTAAAGATAAGACACATCCAGGGTGGGTGTGGGCTTCTCAAGGAAGTCCCGCTGAAGTATCTTATCACAGCCATTTTGGTGGCTTGAAAGTCACATCTTAAAAGATTTACAAGACATCTAAATGAGATCACAGGGTAGTTCACAAGGTACAAGGGACAGAGTTACAACTGACAATGTAAAACCTTAAGCCCCAGGAATTACACAGGAAGTTGGCCTCTATTACCATAAACAAAGGTTTACAATCTCTCTGGGGGGGAAAAAAGAGTAAGACAGCAATGGAAGGTCACACAGGCTCAGGCTTTAAGCTTGTTTCATTGCTATTTTAACTTTTTTATTTATGTGTATTTGTGGCTGCTTGTGTGCATGCTCACAATATACATGCAGTACCAGTGAAGGCCAGAAGAGGGCATGAGAGTCCCTGAAACTTGATTAACAAGCTGTTCTGAGCCATCCAATGTGGGGGTGCCTGGAACTGAATCTGGGTCTTCTGAAAGAAGAGTGAGTGCTCTTAACAATGAATCCATCTCTCTACCCCCTACTTTAACATTATTATTTGAAATATCTGCATATAAAAGCAATAGGAAAATTTCATAGCTCTGTGTGTGTGTGTGCGTGCGTGCGTGCGTGCGTGTGTGTGTGTGTGTGTGTGTATGTTTTGGAATTCTTGACTTGGTTTTTGAGAGATGTCAACCAGTCTCTTGCGTGAGAGTCTGCTTACCCTTCAATCTTGTCCTGTCTTTCTATTCTGCCTCGATGTGACTTTATTATACTCTATTTTGCGGTCTGTCAATGTTTGAGCATCTTACAATGAACCCAACAGAACTTTTCTACAAATTTGGAGTAACGACACACACTAGGAAAGTATGTGTGGTTTATGATTTGTGCATCATCCTCCCACCCACCACCTTATTATTCATCCAGGGGGTCAGAGAAAAACTCATCCCAGAGGCCAGATTTCAAAGGTTCCCTCCATTTTCTCAACCAAATGATAAGGAGAGGCAAAGCCAACATAAACACCCACACATTTTATAAGCACATTACTTCATTTTCCTTAAAGCAACCACCTCCCACGCTATCCTAAGTCTTCGGGCCTTATTTCTAGGGTTTCAGAATTATTATCTGACACAGGCATGGCCCACTAGAACGCTCCATTCCCCTAGAGATAGAGAAAAGACCCTGGTTGGGTCAATGATGCTGCCTGATTGGTGTTCTGAAGGAAGAAGCCTCCCCTCTGGGTTAACAGGTTAGGAAGATGTGATCTGAAGTCCTGGTGGCCCTCTCCACCACAGCAGGGAAAGATGCCAGCGCAAGAGGGGGCAGCCAAACTGAGAAACGCAGGTAACAAAGCCCAGTCCTGATGATGTCACTCCTGTGCCTGGACCCTGGGTCGCACGCTTGTGAATCAGCCAGTGATCATTTGGTTGATTTTCACAAACCCATAACCAAATCAGACTTCAGCACACACCGCTTCAACTCCCTTTCCCAGCTCTAAATAGAGTTTCAAAGTAAGAATAGACGGCTTATGTGGACCCTGCCTCCCTGGGGCCCAAGGATAAATCCCAAGCCCATAGAGGTCTGCAAAGCCCATAGAGCCAGCAGCACAGGGTCACTTCAGGATCCGGATGCTCATTTTTTGTTCGATGTTCATCTTCTCTAAGGACTGGGGAGAGATGGGTGTGGTCAAGTCAAGAGGTTTGAATCTAAACCCTAAGCATCTCGCCTCCTCCCCTGGAGTCCTAGCATCTCCCTGTACGCCCCAGGTCTCTCCCACCCTCCAGCGAACTTTACTCCCATGTCCTTCTATCCTAGGACCTCCTGATCTCCACTCCTAACCTTGGTGAACTCCATGAAGGACACAGCCCCATCACCGTCTTCATCGGCTTCCTGCACTGTGCGGTCTGTGATGCTCTCCAACTGCTCATCCGTCACCTGAACCCCAACCATCAGTCGGAGAACCTGGGAGGTAGGAGAAGAGCCATAGAGACTGCTCCTCCAGCCCCAGCCCTTGCCCACCTCACCCCAAGTTATGACCAAACTTTTCTTACTCACTTTTTACCATCAAACTCAATTTCCCCGTAGTGTCTAGAAGGCACTCCTCCCATCGCTTCCCTGTCTAATCTTCCGTATGATTCCATCTCACTCTCCAACAGCTAATGTGCCCCTAAACCTAAACCTTATAGCCCAATCGACATCCATCCTCCACTCCACCCCACCTACCCCTCCCCCCTCACTTCATCATCTATCCTAGAGTCTTGACACTATTGACACTTAGACCTAGACAACTCCTTGGTATGGAAAGCCAGCCTAGGTGTTTTGGTGTATATAGTAGTAGTATTCCTGGTCCGTTTCCAATCACCATCAATTGTATAATCTCTTCCTGGTAGTGACAACCAAGTATCTCTAGGCATTGGCAAAATTATCCAAGAGACCAAATTACCCTCAAGTCCCAATCTCATCCCTACTTACTTCCTATGCATCCTTCTAACTTCCCACCCCAACCCCATCCATTCCCATGTTACTTAACACACAATCATCTGCAACCCCACTCATCACACACACACACACACACACACACACACACACACACCACTCCATTTAGCCCTCCTGCCCTGCCCACATCTTCTGCACACCATGATTTTCTGACCTGTAGCATTTCATTCCTGGAGATCTTCCCATCCCGATCCAGATCGTAGAGCTGAAACGCAACTGAGAAAGGAACGGGGAGGAGGGAGGTGAGGTTCCCTGAGTTAATATTAAGTCCTCATCAGGCTCACCCCCTCATCAGGGTTGTGAGAGCTTCCTGGGCCTTTCCCTGGTGTGGGTAAATCTTGGGGTCTCTCTAGAGCAGGTCCCCCCACACACTCACAGCGCAGTTTGTTCATTCTGCTGTTTAGGGGTTCAGGTTGCTTAGGGTCCCGGGTTGCTGCATCTTCCTCGTCTACAGGTCGAAAATGAGCCAGGACCCTGGCAAAGCCCGCGAAATCCACTCTCTGACTCCTTTAGGTGCAGGGATGGAGGGCAATGGTCAACTAGACTGCCACCATCTGTAGCCTCCCTCCCACCCACGTCCATCTCCCCTCCAGCCAGCCCATCGAGATTCACCCATTGGGGAAGAAGCTGTCTATAATGCGGTCCCCCAGGGGGTTCACAGCTAGCGCCCCGATCCGCTGGAGGTCTAGGCGGCTGTGAAGACAAAACAATGAGGCAAAGGAGGCAGATGGAGGTGTCAGAAAAGGGGATGGGGCCGGAAAAACAGAGGCAACCTGCTCTGCTCACCTCAAGTAGCCCTTTTCCTCCCTGTCCAGGGCTTGGAACCGGTGATAGAGGCGGAGCAGGCTGGCTTGCGAGACTATGGGAGAGAAGGAGATGGAATGAGCCAGCAGAGGACTCGCAGACCCTTATCGCCAGATCTTGTATGCACTGGGGTGCGCTGCAGAAACCCCCCCCCCCCCCCCCGGCTCATTGGACCTGGGCGGGGAGCCAAGAGGGCTTAGTCTCATCTGTAACCTCCCCTTCCACCCACCGACGTTACAGGGTCTTCCACCTCCCCACTCTCAGCGAGGCTTCAACCATAAGAAAGAGGCTGGTGCGTAGGGATGCAAGGAGGGAGAGTTGTTACACCCCCACCCCCCACCCCCGTCGCCGCCGCCGCAAGCCCAGGTGCGAAGTCGACCCGCCTGGAAGAAGCTTGACTTAAGGAAGCCCTATGCTGGAGACCCAAGAGGTTCCCAGAGCCCAGGTTCCAATCGAAGTCAGCCCCCTGCATCCGTCGTGTGCTCTGCCTTCAGCCTCCCTGGGAGCTCGAGGATGCCTGAATGAATCTGATCCATCAATCCGAGCCGCCACAAATTTGACTCTCAAAGACCTTAACTTCCTGCCATCCTGGCGTCCCGGTTTCTCAGCTCCGGAGGCTCGAATTCCTCGACTCAGACTCCAAGTCCTCTAGGTCCCTGAGATCTGGGATATTCTCCATTCTGGGAACCCCGTACACCACACTAAACCTACTCCTGTGCCCTTTCACCAACTACTGGACTGCCCCTACCCCCGCACACTCACAGCCGGTCTCTCTGAGAATTTGGTCCACATCGGGAATGCGTGCAACGTGGGAGCTGCACGAGCCCATAGCGGAGTCACGGCGGAAGCTAGCAGCCAGAGGAACCAGGCGTCCTCTCCTCCCGTCCAGGAGGCGCGGCCGGCCAATGGCCCCAGGGCCGAAGGTCACGGGCCTGGCCAGCAGCCAGAACCCAGGCGTTCCTCGCCTTCCACCTACGACCCTGGAGAACAGAAAACAATGCCCGGGGTAGCAGGTCAGAGGGGAAAACTGAGAACAACCGGTCGTTTCAGCCCGGAGATTGAGGTCGCCTGAGGCTGGGCGATGCCAGGGCCCCGCCTTTCTCACACCCCGTGCTAGCCAGCTTTCTCCCAACCCTCCCCAGACACAAACCCACCTCCTCGACGGGACCTCCCAGATCCTCTCAGTCAGCGGCGCTCAGTTCTTGTCCCGCTGGGTGGGATGAAGACCTTCTTCTGGGGACAGGAAGAGTGGGCAGGGAGAGAGGAGGGGACGGCTCCCTGGGCAGTAGGGGTGGTGATGGGAAGTCCCGGCTCCACTAAGTGGGAAAGCTTAGACAAGAATCCTTCCTACGCCCCCTTTACTCTACACAAGCCCACACATGATGGGTCTGTAGTGTTTCCTTTGTTTACATAGGGTTATTGTGTGGCTGAGCCAATTCTCAAGATCAACGAAGTCATGTGACACCATCACTTGGGAGGCTGAGGCAGGAAACTAGGCATGAATGCGGGGCTACTCTGAACTACTAGTTCTAAGCCAGCCTGGGCTTCATTGTTTGACCTTGTCTCAAAACAAAAAAACAAATGTGCAAGATTTACCCCAATCCAGGTTCCTGGGTTCTCTCAGAAATCAGAAGTTCTGGGGGCTAGTTGTGTAGCTCAGTGGGACAGTAACTGCTTGCCATGCAAGCCCAGGGCCCTGGGTTTGATCTAGTGCAGTGGACGAGAGAAATTTCTACAAGTTTTGCTATCTCTCACTGGAGGCTATCTGCCATAGGCCCCCACGGCCCTGTTCTCTCCCAGTGTGCCCCGTGGGGCCCCACAGAACAACAGGTGTGTAATGCCTTGGGCTTCTGACCAGTGCCCAGCACCAGCAAGCTGAAGTCTGTGACTTGGCTTAAAATACTAAAGACAGAAACAAGGCCTCTGGTTCAATAAGGGTGTACACAGGACTTGCTCTGCACTTTGTGTGCCCCTGCTGGACCTTTGGTTCACATGTGTTTTGTGAAGTACTGGAACACACACCGTCCTGTTTTCTTTCTATTTTAGAGTTGTATTTGTATTCTATGTATATGAGGGCTCTGATGTATCTCTGCAGGCCAGAAGAGGGCACCAGACCCCATTACAGATGGTTGTGAGCCACCATGTGGTTGCTGGGAATTGAACTCAGGACCTTTGGAAGAGCAGACAATGCTCTTAACCTCTGAGCCACCTCTCCAGCACACAGTGCCCTATTTTTTTTATATAGTTTTATGGGAACATCACAGCTGAGTCATTTATAAAGAAAAATGTTTAGGGCTGAAGAGATGGCTCAGCAGTTTCTAGCACTTGCTCTTTTAGAGGACATACGTTCAATTCCCAGCACCCACATGATGGCTCACAACTGTCTAAAGCTTTAGTCAACAAGGACCCAATGCCATCTTCTGACCTTGGGGACCAAGGCATGCTTGTGATACACAGACACACAGGTAGGCTCAACACCCATACACATAAAAATAAATTTTGAAAAAAGAAAGGACAAAATTTAGGTGTGGTGTAGTATCACACACCTTTAATTCTAGAAGAGGGAGGCAGAGACAGGTAGATCTCTGTGAGTTCAAAGCCAGCTTGTTCTACCTGTTCTTTACATCAGGTTCCAAGCCAATCACGTGTACACAGTCAGACGCTGTCACAAATAATAATAATTAATGTGAAGTGGTGCACACCTGTAGTCCCAGCAAATAGGAGGCTGGGGCAAGAGAACTATCAATCCAGAGTTATGGGCTATCCTGTGCTACATAGTAAGTTCTGGACTAGCCTGGGCAACAGAGTGACCTTCTGACTCAAAAAATAGAAAAGGGAAAGAAAGAAAAGATAAAGAGGCCATTCAGCTCTGGACTGGGAAGGTCAAGATCAGGTGGCTTCGTCTAGAGTGTCCTTGATGGTGAGGTCTCTGCACAGCTCAGGGTATCACACGACAAGACCAACAGACCATCCCAGCCTGGTGTTGCCCTGTTCTTCTCATAAAGCCACAGACCCAACCTAGATAGCGCAACAGGCCTGTCATCTCGACCTCTCAGGAGGCTGAGGTAGGAGGATCACAAGGCCAAACTGGTCAACTTAAACGCTTTTCCAGGATGTAAGCATAGGGGGCTGGAGAGGCGGCTCCGTGGGTCAGAGCACTCGCTGTGCAAGGGTGAGCATAAGGATGAGGGCCCGAGCTCAAATCTCCAACATTCACAAAAACTGCTAAGCATGGCCACATGTGTGGGAACGCCCATGCGTATATACACCGTCTATTTGATTTTCCTTTGTAAAATAAGAAGAGTGGAGGGCGGAATTCTGGGCCAAAAGAGTACTTACCAGCAAGCGTGTGGCCTTAAGTTCAGTCCTCAATGCTGCAAAACGTAGGTGTCTAGTTTTGAAACTACCCTGCCATCACCATTTTCGTATGCATGCACATTTTCATGGGAAGAGTGCAGGAATTTCGTTACAGGGGTTCAAGCTCAAATATCCATTTGGAAGACAAAAGCAGTCTATTAGTCTCCAGCCAGAGATGGAGGCTTAACTCCAAAGAGACTTGAAAATATTGATCTAAAAAGTGCTTCTCTTTCAGACTAAATAACTGACAGAAGAGATGCTGATTCCCTTTCAGATGTCCCCCAAGGACTAAAGAATGTGGGAAGCCACCCTCTTCCCCCACAAAGCCCAACAACTCTTCAAGCCAGAGTTGGGAGTCGGACTGAACCTGGGAAGCAGTGAGTCCCCAATCGTGTGCAGAAGTCTCCTCCAGCCAGGATGAGAAAGGGCTCTTCCAGCCTTGTATGTGCTCATGTGAGTCATTTTAGTGCGCGCGCACACACACACACACACACACACACACACACACACGGTCAGAATTTGTTTTAAGGTTCCTGCCATGCTTGATGATGTTCCAGTTTTTAAAAAAACCAACAAACATCCAAGAATATTGCAGAAAACATAAAACTCATATCGCTCAATGAATGTGCCAACTAAAAAAATGGACAGGTGGGCAGTGGTGGCACACACCTTTAATCCCAGCATTCAGGAGACAGAAGCAAGCAGTGAGTCTGAGGCCACCCTGCACTACAAAGTGAGTGCCAGCACAGTCAAAGCTACACTGATAAAGAAAAAAATATCAATGCCAGGATGGGGTATCTTCTCCCTATGAGTTCCTGACCCTGAGGCTCCTAAAACAAAATACAAGCCAGGCAGTGGTGGCACACACCTTTAATCTGAGCACTCAGGAGGCAGAGGCAGTCAGATCTCTGAGTTCGAGACCAGCCTGGTCTACAGAGTGAGTTCCAGAACAGTCATCACTACACAGAAAAAAATCCATAATAATAATAATAATAACTATTATTATTATTATAACAAATGGACAGAGGACTGAAATGGAGATTTCTTCAAAGAAGATGTATAAATGTCCAGATAAATGCAGAAAAAGACTCTCAATGTCACTGGTCATCAGGAGATTAAGAATCAACCCACAGTGAGATATCACTTCACGCTCACTGGAATGACTAGAATTAAGACCAAAAGAAGCAAAAGAACCTTGCAAGTCTCAGGGAGGAGATGGAGAAGTCAGACCCTGTGCATTGCTCGTAGAAGGTAAAACGGTGCAGTCATCATGAACAACAAGACCAAGATTTCTCAGGAAGTAAAAACTATCACGTGCTAAATAATCCTCTCCTGGGTATACACCCAAAAGAATTGAAAAATGCGTGTTCACTGATCAGTAGGCACAACAGCAAAGAGAACGACTGTGTGACTCAGCTCTATGCCTTCTGGGTATTTTTTGCCTGGAAGATTCTTGAATCTGCTCACCGCAGAGATCCTTACGCGTCCATATTTATCAGTGCACTGTTCACAAAAGCCAATATGGGAGCCAGCTTAGGTGTCTATCAACACATGAGGATGAAGAAAATGTAGTGTATCTGTGTACAATGGAATTTTATTCAGTCATAAGAAATATGATTTTATGACATTTCCATAAACGTGGGTGGAACTGGAAATCGTTATGTTCATTAAAATAAACCAAGTTCAGATAAACAGATATTGCATGTTTATTACGTGTATTATTTATTGTGGGGATTCTGTGTATCCACATGCCATTGCATGTATATGAAGGTCAGAGGATGACTTGGAGCAAGCCATGAGGGTCAAACCAGTAAGCAGTATTCCCCCATGGTCTCTGCTTCCATGGAGCCTTAAGAGTTCTGCCACCTCCCATCAGTACCACAATTTGGGGACAAAATCTTTAACACATGTGTTCCAAACAGCATTAGACCAAGCAGGCCTGGAACTCACAGAGATCCACCTGCCTCTGTCTCTTAGTGCTGGGATTAAAGGCATGTGCCAGCCAGCTTAAATTTATTTTTATTTATGTGTATGTATATGCAGCACACATGTGCCAGTGCCTACAAGAGGTCATAAAAGGGCAGTGGATCCCCTGGAACTGGAGTTACAGGCAGTTGAGACTCACCCAATGGGAGTGCAGGATCTCACTAACAGCCCAGCTGTCATGGAACTTGCTATATAGACCAGGCTGACCTGGAACTCACAGAGATTCCACCTGTATCTGCCTCCCGAGTGCCATGATTGAAGGCATGAGCTGCTGACATGGAAGGAGGCCTCTTATTTAAGGACACTGATGCTTTAGTGGCCACCAAAGGTTGTCTGATGGCGGCTTAGTGCTACTGAGAGGACACAGAGCCTTTAGATGGTGGGAGCTAAGGATAGTAAGTTAGGTCACTGAGAATGTGTTCTGGGAGCAGTATTGAGACACCAAGACTGTCTGTCTTTCAGTTCCCACCACAGTGAGGTGAACAGTTTTGATCTGCCACAAACCCACGGACTGAAACCTCAGAAACCGTGAGCCAAAA